AAAATACATGCTGAACTTTTGTTTGAGATACATAAAAACATTTCTAATCTTGTATAACCCGTCACTTCTGTCAGGCCTGGTTTTGTCAGAGAAGTGGAACATACCTAACAGTAAAATAAACTTGTTCACTGGGATGATTTCACTGAAGACCTGGGTAGAAATTAGCCAATCTGTGGACCAGTATGCTTTTATATTATGCTAATAGACATGAGGCATAAGCATTATTGTTGCAAAAACCAAATACATTTCTGCAACAGTCGTCTGTTTCCACCGGTGTAGTCTTGACTGTGGTGATATGACCATATTTGCCATGGTGTACTCAAAATACTTGTTACTTTCCCTGACAATAGTTTCCATCAGTGGTTGGTCAAAGAATAATTCAAAGAATTCCAGTTAATTTGCAGTGTTTCCAAGGGAACAAGTTGGTAGAATTCCACTTTGAGAGTCATCAAAGTGGTGGGGCTTGGGAACAAAATTGGGATTTTGCTGCCAACCCCAGATATGGTTTGCTGGTGGATACTGGACATGATATGCTGGTTGTGCGGGTAGTTGTGGTTGTGGTGGGCTGGTGGCTGATGCTCCGCTTTGCCCTTGAACTGAGGAGTCAGCAGCGTGGGTCCCAGCCTGGGCTGGTGAGTCATGCATGGCCGTGGCACTACGATCACCACTACCACCATCTGCTGATGCCTGTGGTCTATCCATGCCATATGTAGCCATATCATCCTCACTATCACTATCTATACCTGGTGTAGGGCCACGGGATGTACTCCGGGATGTACTCCGTCCCCTGGGCACAGCATAGAGTACACTACCCGAGCGCATGCGGCGACGTACATACCGACGCTTCACTGGTGAATATGATTCCTCACTATCACTACTCGAATGATCGTCAAGAGCAATAAAAATCACAATCCACATCACTATCATCATCATTACTGAAGTCAGAAGCCTGCCCATGCGAAAATAATAGTTTTCTCTTGCGTTGAGGTACAACCGACCGTGACTGAGGAGTGCCCACACCAGAGGTAGAAGGTTGAGGATCGTCAGGGTTTTCTGCACTATTATCGATATCCTGGTCATTCCTTTCGGTCACTAACTTATCAAAGCCAAAGAATTCGTCTTCATTTCCACTTCCATCAGTGTCAGAACTATCAGATAGGAAGAGGAGAGTCCCAATTTTTCGTGGAGTGAGAGCTGCCTTGCGACGAGGCATGGTGAACAAGGGTATCTGAGCCGGCGTTCCCACAATGCTATGCGGGCGCCTAGATTTTTTGTTTATGGCGCACACCCACCACACAGACCCGTTCTCTCACATGTAGGCCTATGAGTGCTTTTGTGTTAAATTTGACGGCGCTAGAATATTGGCATAGATCTACAGTTTGGACACTCAACGTGAAGCCGTAGATCTACGGGATGGACCCTGAAAGGGTTAAAATTGAGATGAAGTAAGAGAAATGTTCGATTTTTTTTCGATGTTCAAGAGTAAACAAGTGACGTTACCATCGAATACATGTCCAACTGAATGGTCTAATACACAGTCATGAATGGGTTGACATTATTTACGCAATTAATACAATAATGCAGTAGTCTGCTTAACAGTAAATCTTCTATTATATGTGTGAATAAAAGTTCAAAATGAAAAACAAGTGTAATATAAGAGGGGTGTGGAGACATGACTGATGAACAGAGAAAATGTTATTTTAGTGCTAAGAATGTTTGCATTGTTTATTCTGGACCCTATTTTGAAATTGGCATCTATTGAAATTTGTTTGAAATTGACCCAATTACCGATTTCTGACCACTGTTAGGTAGCTCTAATAGGTAAGTGGATTTTTTTTTTTTTTTTTTTTTTTTTTAGCATACAAACAGAGGTACAAAAAATACAGGTAAGAGCAGCATGCCAAAACCACTTATATGCATAGCATTACGGGCTAGCTTAAAATTAACTTTTACTCAAAGGACAGCATAGAATGAATACTAGTGAAGTAATTCTTTTGGTAGACTGGAATGGACCAAAAATGGGGCATGAAGTTGGTGAAATTACCAATGCGTATATATCGCTGTTGGGTTAAGTGTATTCTAACCTAACAACTCTGTAATCTGTCAAAATCACTAATCTGGCACCTTACAGGTCTCGATGATGCCGGATTATTGATGGTTAACCTGTAGTTATAAAACAAACCATGTCCACTATCAACGATTCCTGGCCATCAGCATCATAACTTTTTTGTTATAAGTATATACAGTGGTACCTTTACTTATGAGTGCCCCAACTTAAAAGTTTTCAAAGTTATGAGCTGTCACTTGGTCGATTTTTTGCTTTGAGCTTCGAGCCAAAATCCAAGTTTTGAGCGAGCTTCAGATACATCACCACTAGTTTGTGCAGCAAATGCCACAACATCTGCCCAGCATCCCATGTCTCACCCTTCTTTGCATATGGTTACCTCACCGTGGAAACATCTCTCTTGTGTTGTGCTTACATTTTGTTCTTTTTGTGCAATTATTTTACCAAATTTCTCTTTTCTAACCATGGATCATAAGAAAGTAAGTGCAAAGGACACTGCTGAGAAGAAGAGGATGTTGTCCATTGAATTAAAGCATGAAATCATAGAAGAACATGAGCGAGGTGTGTGTTTAGTAGTTCTATGATATGTACCATACTAAAGCAGGAGTCGATAAAAGCTGAAACACCAACCAAGGGTGTTAAAATAATTTTGCAGTAATTATGCAAACCAATGTAAATATCTCAAGTAACCCTTTCAGGGTCCGTCTCGTAGATCTACGGCTTTACGTTCAGGGTCCAAACCGTAGATCTACGCCAAAATTCTAGCGGTGTCAAATTTAGCGCGAGAAGGCTGGTAGGCCTACATCTGAGAGAATGGGTCTGGGTGGTCAGTGTGCACACTATAGAAAAATCTGGACGTCCACATGGCATTGTGGGAACGGCGGCAAAGTAGCTTTGTTCATAGTGCCTGGCGGCAAGGAAGCTCTCACTCCCCACTCACTCTCTGGGCGAATTCTGACTCTCCTCTTCACAACTTACAGTTCTAAGACTGATGGAAGTGGAGCTGAAGAGAAATTCTATGGTTTTGAACCACATGGTACCATTGTACCATATGGTACAATGGTACCATATGGTACAATGGTGCCATGTCATACAATGGTATCACATGGTATAATGTGCCATATGGTACATTGTACCATATGGTACATTATACCATATGGTTCATTGTACCATATAGTACAGGGTACAGGGACCCTAATGGATATAAGTCTCTCTGACTTTTTTGAGTTATCCTAGGTTCTCCAAACATATGCTGCTAAGTATGATATTCTATGCAACTTTATTTGTGTATACCTAAACAAACTTACTTACGATGCCACATGCGCTTGAGTAAGTTTATTCAGGTGTACACAAATACAGTTACATAGATTATCATACATAGCAGCATATGTATAAAATCCTAGGATAACCCAAAAAAGTCAGGGTGACTTATTTCCAGAGGGATCCCTGTATCTGTACCATATGGTGTCCTGTACCATATGGTACTCTGCACCATATTGTTCCCTGCACCATGTGGTACCCTGCACCATATGGTACCCTGCACCATATGGTACCCTGCACCATATGGCACCCTGTACCATATGGTACCCTGCACCATATGGTACCCTGTACCATATGGTACCCTGCACCATATGTTATCCTGTACCATATGTTATCATGTACTGTATGGTACACTATAGCATATATTACAATGTACCATATGGTACCCTGTAACATATGATACCGTGTACCATATGGTCAATAGGACATGTTTGTGGCAGCAGGCACCAGCCAAGACTGAGTGAGTGGTGACGCAAGCTAGCTACTGACTCAGCAGTTTCCAAGACAAACCGCTCTGTCATCCACCTCAAGTAACGTGTCGAGTTCCTGTACACTTGCAAATATACTGTATAATAGAACATTACTAATATACAGCATTTTTGCATATTTTTGTTGTAAACAATTATTGTAAACAAAATAAAGGTGAAAATATTAGTGTGTTTATTGTGTTGAATACAACAGTACCATATGGTACCATATGGTACAATGAACGATATGGTATCATTGTACTATATGGTACAATGTACCATATGGTACCATTGCACCATATAGTACCATAAAGTACCATTGCATCATATAGTACCATAAAGTACCATTGCATCATATGGTACCATTGTATCATATGATACCATTGTACCAAATGGTGCCATTGTACCATATTCTACCATATGGTACCATTGTATCATATGGTACCATTGTATCATATGATGCCATTATACCATATTGTACCATTGTACCATATCGTACAATTGTACCATATGGTACCATTGCACCCTATGGCACCATTGTACCATATGGTACTATATGGTACTGTTGTATTCAACACAATAACTGCACTAATATTTTCATCATTTTGTTTACAAGAATTTTACAAAAACAAGTTTTGTAAGCAATATAATGATAAACAAATTAGTGCAGGTATTGTGATGAATACAATGAGTGTACACTTATACAATATACATTATATTGGTCTCACAGGCCACAAATGTTACTACAAAAAGAAAAAAAAATAGAAAAAAGAAAAAAGTATAAAAGCAAAATAAAAAAAATGTGATTTTGAGGAAGTCACTGATGTTGCCGACACCGGGTCATTTTGGGTCAACTTCCCTCCGCTGTATCTCGGTAAGTACTGATCAGAAATTTTTGTTTTGTTTTATTACCTTCACAAAAATATCTCTAATTCTGTAAGGAAAATTTTTTTTTTTTTTTTCAAAATTTCTTGGACACTGGAGCACCACTTCAGATTTTGGCCTTGGACCCTGAAAGGGTTAAGCGATAGAGTATACGATGAACGAACGATAGGGTATATGATGAAGCAATAGAGTATATGATGAATGAACCAAAAAAGCACGAAATGAAACGAACTCCTCCATTGTCCTCTGCCTATCTTTTCCAGCATCCACCTCTGCCCGCATCTTCAGTTAGCCCAAGTCGTCTGATCTCCAAGGTAAATACACTTTATAAAACTGGTTTATTTCTTTACATTCTCTTTTATTATGTTTTATGTTTTTATACAATATTTCTTACTTATAAATACATTTGTCTTATTTAAAAACCTGTAACAAAAAAATTGGGGTGGTTTTTTGGTGGGCTGGAGCAGATTAATGGCATTTCAATTAATTTTAGTGAGGAAAATTGATTTGATATATGAGCAAATTGAGTTACGAGCTCAGTCACAGAATGAATTAAACTCGTAAGTCAAGGTATCACTGTATGTAAAACAAAAAAAAAAAAGACTTGTATATAGGGGTTCATTACCTTCCATGTTTTCAGGCAGCTATGGTAAGTCTTGGAACAAATCACCCATGGATACAGCGAGAACTACTGTATAACAGCCTAAATTATCTTGTTACTGTATACTACTGCTTATGTTGTGCCAAGTACCTGACTTCACTTGTCACTGTTGTCAGTGATTTACCAGGTGAAGAATATTTTGTTTTAATTATTAACTCTAATGGTTAGTAACCTAGGAAAACCCAGTAAAGTAAGTTGGTCATTGGCGTTCTTTAACCCTTTGAGGGTCGACAAGCCCTCTCCGAAACTCGTTCTCAGGGTCGGCCAAATTTAAAAAAAAAAAAATTATTTTCTCTTATGAAAAGATAGAGAATCTTTTCCCGATCATAAAGACACCAAAAGTTTGAAATTGATAGAAAACTTACGGAATTATGCTCTCGCAAAGTTAGCGGTCTCGGCGATGTTTACGCATCGGCGATTTTGCCCACTTTGAGCCCCATTTTCGGCCAATTTCCCTGTACTAGTCGGCAAAAAACATGAATATTTCGCTAGAACTCCATTTTTTCTATCGAATGGGTGCAAGAAACCACCCATTTATGAAATTCAACTATCCAGTACAGTGGTCAGAATTTAGCAATTTTGCCAATTTCACACAAATTTCAAAAGATGCCAATTTCCGAATAGGGTCCAGAATAAACAAGAAAGACATTCCTGGCACTAAAATGACATTTCCTCTGGTCATTAGTCACGTCCCAAGGCTCCTCTTATATTCTTTTGCTTTCCACTTTGAATTTTTATTCTCACAAAAAATATAAGATTTACTGTTATGCAGACTACTGCATTAGTGTAAAAAATGTTATAAATATTATTGGTGCACTTGTGAAAGAATATTAGACTCACCAGTTGACGTGTATTGCACGCTTGGCACGATTTGTTTACTTTTGAAGTTTGGTAAAAATCGAACATTTCTGCTACTTTGAGCTCAATTTCAAGGCACCTTTCATTGTAAAACCAGTCAAAATCATCTCAATTTCTGTAATATGTCTTCCATTCTATAAAATGAGACCAAGAAAACTAGAATACAACAATAAATACCATACGAAAATACACTGCAAAGTCGCTGATTTATTCCAAAAAAATGGTCAAAGTTTTTTTTTTCTCATTGTGCTGCAGGATTTTTTTTAGACTGTGCACACTGACCACATAGACCCATTCTTTCATATGAAGGCCTACCAGCTTTCTCCCACTAGATTTGAGGCCGCTAGAATTTATGCGTACTAGTACGTCAAAAACCCCTACGCGTAAAACGTACTAGTACGACCAAAACCCTCAAAGGGTTAAAAATTCTCCCCCAGTATAATATCTACTACAGTTAGTTAACATTATCTGTGTCTGAGAGCAATCCTCCAGTTTCTCAGTATGTAGCTTAGGACACTATTAACGAAGCCACCTTTCTGCCTGGATAACTCACTGTTGATATTGCTGATTTACCAATGTAGTGAAGTAGCTTGGTCCCCCATAATCACACATTCATAAATGTTCTATTGAATGTTTGTAGTGAATGCTTCAAAATTGCTCTAATTGTTGAATGTTCAGTTATATCATTTTCTCTCTTACTTAATACAGTACAGTGGATCCTCATTTATAGTAATTAATCCGTTCCAGAGAGTGTGACTACAGCTGAATTTGATGATTTCAAAAATTAATTTTTTCCCTTTAGAAATAATGTAAATCCAATTAATCCATTCCAGACTCCCAAAAGTATTAAACAAATTTTTTTTACACGAAATTTACACTTACCTACACAGACAACAATGAGACATGAAGAATAAAACATTAATAACATGACAGTTACCTTTATTGAAGACTCTTCTTAGTGTATTGAAGATGGGAGGAGGGGAGAGGATGAAGAAATTACTGTTTGAAAAGGGAATCCCCTTCCGTAAAGACTTCAGGTACCAAGTCCTTTTATGGGGTCACTTCCCTTCTTTGTTTGTTAATGCCACTAGGAACAGCTTGAGAGTCACTGGACCCCTGTCGCTCAAAAAAGTGTTCCAGGGAGGTCTTTCTGGTGCATGTTAGGAATTGTGGTGGTGGCAAGGGAGCGTGTTGAGAGACAGGACAACATAGTCTGTCAATACGACACTAATATCAACTCTATGGCTAATTTATCTAGCACAATTCATCTCATGTGACATAATAAACAACAGTATTAATAACACAGAAACATGATATATACAGTGGACCCCCGCATACCGTACGCATCACATAACGTTCAATCCGCATACCGCTCGCTTTTATCGCAAAAATTTTGCCTCGCATACCGCTCAAAAACCCGCTCACCGCTCTTCGTCCGAGACGCGTCCAATGTGCGCCCTTAGCCAGCCTCACATGTGCCGCCGGTGGCATTGTTTACCAGCCAGCCTCCGCGGTAACATCCAAGCATGCAATCAGAACATTTCGTATTATTACAGTCTTTTTGGTGATTTTATCTGCAAAATAAGTGACCATGGGCCCCAAGAAAGCTTCTAGTGCCAACCCTACAGCAATAAGGGTGAGAATTACTATAGAGATGAAGAAAAAGATCATTGATAAGTATGAAAGTGGAGTGCGTGTCTCCGAGCTGGCCAGGTTGTATAATAAACCCCAATCAACCATCGCTTTTATTGGTGGTACAGCTGCTGCTGCTGCTGTAGCATCGTCTGCTGCTGCTGTGCATCGTCGCTGCTGCTGTAGCATCGTCTGCTGCTGCTGTAGCACGTCACTGCTGCTGCTGTAGCATGTCTGCTGCTGCTGTACATCGCTGCTCTGCTGTACACGCACTGCTGCTGGCTGCGTAGCACCGTTGTTGGTGGGCTTATTGAGAATACCAAGAAACAATTAACCCCAGGGATTTGCACCCGGGAAAACCCAAAAAAAAGTCATGCATCGAAACTGCTAACTTTTTTCCCATTGGGTCCTTAATCTTGTCCCCCCAGGATGAAACCCACACCATCGACAACACCCAGGTGAACGGGGAAAAATGCTAAACTGTGCTTTATTGGTGAATTTAAAGCCGAAAAGGGGTTGGGTTTTGAGAGATTTAAGAATCGTAGTGGCATACACGGTGAAAGGCCTGTTCTGGAAGAAAATGCCAAACAGGCCCTACATATCAGGAGGAAAAGGCCTCCCGGGACACAGTGTCTCATCGTCATTCTGCATTTTTCAATAAAGGAAAGTGTCATTTATCTTCATTTAGTAGATTGTAATGCACAATATAAATTGGCATGTACTTCTACTATTGTGCTGATCCTTCTCTTTGTGTGTGGGAAAAATGTATATTTCATGTGGAAAAATTTTTTTTTTTTCATACTTTTGGGGTCTTGCATGGATTAATTTGATTTCCTTATTTTGGGGGGAAAATTCTTTCGATCCGTCATTTCCAAAACCAATGACCCTCTTGCACAGATTAAAGTCCTATGGGGGGCCCACGTACTCAGAATGAATGAAATGTGTCATTAGTATATCCGGGGGTTTTTGTGTCTTTTTTGTTGGGTGTATAAGGGCCACAGCAAAAAAGGCGGGGTGTTTTCGTACCCATATACCCCCAAACAACATTGGGGGATCATTTTTCGTGCTGCCTTCTTCTGTCTTTTAAATTTGTTTAAACTTACTAATGCTACACTTTACACTGGTGGTGCATACCTTTATTGACCCCTGCTGCTTTGTATCCTAATATCGTAGAATCACTGAAGAAGGCACATTCTCCTCTCTCTCTCACCCCTTTTTCCAAAGGGCTGGCTGGCATTAGGAACCTTTTTTGGGGCCATGGAGCTTATTTAGCGTTAAAAAGCACTAAAAAGAATTGAAAAAATACAAAATTATCATATAAAGGGGTGGAGCGTGCCCATGGCTAATAAACAATGGCAACTGATTTTTGCTGTGTGAGGGCTTTGGGACGAATCACTATTTTTGACTCGATGATCACGACCCTATTTTTGATGAAAAAAATTTACATTTCCAAATTTTACGAAAAAAAACACTACAATATCCAGGGGTCCACTGTAATTTTATTATGTAATAAGGTTGTTGTTGAAGTTTCCCATTTGAAAAAATTCACTTTCCTGAATCATTGGTAATTGTTTTTTTCCTTTTATAAAATCTGTGGGGAAAATTTTGTCTAGACTGCCTCCATGGAGTTGCTTACCCTAGCAAGCTCTGTTAAACCCCCCAAAACCTGAGGTCTGTACCTCGGCCCAAAAGTGGCTTATTGGAAAATTTTTCCGTAAATGACTGATGTTGCAAAAAAATCTCGCCGTTGCACGAAAAAGGGCTAACGGGTTTTGGGGAAAAATTTTTCCAATCTTAAACCTTCCTAAGCTTTTAACCCCTCTGGACCCCCCTCAGAACCATGTGCAACCGGGGGCCTTTAAATTCCCTGCAATATTCAGTCAAAATTTTGTGACCTGCCTGAAAATCAAAAAATTCCCCTTTTTCCAAGGGGGTGTGTATTCCCTGCATAACTATGCAGAAATAGACACTAGCTTCTAAGCCCAAACCCAAAAAGGTCGCCGGCACGACGATCATTGGGCCATCCACTGCACAAAGCCCCCACAGTTCAACTCATTCAAATTCCCCCCAGAAATGGCCAGAATACTGAATGAGAAAGGGGGTCTCGTCTTACTGTAGGGGCCTGACGGGGGAGGTCATCAGGGTATTTAGAGGTGCCTCCAC